AGGGATGTCTGGTTCCAGGATGTGTGCTCATTCCTCATCCTCAGACTCAGGGGTAGCTCAGTTTTAAGTAATAAGGGTTTTTTGAGGGTGGTGGCTGGTCACTACCTTTCAAGTCAAATAGAGTGACAATAATGGGATTCCTCGTCCCTGTTGACACATCTGCTGGATAAATCAGTCATTAAAAACAGTCATTGCAAGTGGTGGTGCACACCTTTAATTCCAGCACTTGGGAGGCAAAGGCAGGTGGATTTCTGAGTTCAAGCCAGCCTGGTCTACTGAGTGAGTTCCACGACAGCCAGGGCTATACGGAGAAACCCTGTCTTGAAAAACAAAAACAAAAAAAACAAACAACAAACAAAAAAGCCATTGCATTTGATTTGGGGAGGGGCGGGAGGGGCTGTACTGGCTGGTTTTGTGTGTCAACTTGACATAAACTGAAATTATCACAAAGAAAGCAGTCTCTCTTGAGGAAATGCCTCCAGGAAATGCAGCTGTAAGGCATTTTCTCAATTCATGATCAAGTGGGGGAGGGCCTAACCCATTGTGGGTGGTGCCATCCCTCGGCTGGTAGTCCCGGGTTTTATAAAAAAGCAAGCTGATCAAGCCAGGGGAAGCAAGCCAGTAAGTAGTATCCCTCCATGACCTCTGCATCAGCTCCTGCTTCCTGACCTGCTGCTTCCAGTCCTGACTTCCTTTGGTGATGAACAGCAATATGAAAGTGTAAGCTGAATAAACCCTTTCCTTCCGCACAACTTGTTTCTTGGTCATGATCTTTTGTGCAGGAATAGAAACCCTGACTAAGACAGGGGCTGGGGACTGCCATTCTCTTGTCTCCTGGGAAACCTGGCAGCCATATGGTTACAACCCTGTTCAGAATGGATTACTTGTTCTGATACAGCGTGTTGTCTTTTTCTCCATCCTTTCCAGGCAGCCTACTCTTGTGTTTTTACATTTTTTTGAAGTTCATCCTCCTCACTATTTGAAATAGAGTTCTTCTTCTGACTTTCTTTCACTGGGTCATATGGAGGCAGTATCTAGTCCACCATCTTACCAGAAAATAGCAATGCAGTTTTCATTTGCATCTCCCTGATGACTAAGAATGTTGGCCATTGTTTTTACAAATGTTTTTGGCCATTCATGTTTCCCCTTTTAAGAACTATCTGTTCATTTCATGTCTCCCATTTGTCTGGGAGACATGGGTTTGGGTGAGGGTTTTCTTTTTTTCTAATTCTCTATATTATATATTCTATGTGTTAATTCCCTATTGGATATATATGTTACTGACCAAGACTCTCTCCCATTCTGTAGACTCTTACTTCATCTCCTGTCCGTTGCTTCTTTTACCGTACAAAGGCTTCTCGGTCTTAGGGATGACATTTGTCAATACTGGATATTATTTCTTGTGCTATTATAGTCCTTTTCAAAACATCCTCTGCTTATACCTGTCTCTTGAAGTGATTTTAGATAATTTAGCAATTTTTCCCATCTAGAAGACTCAAAGTTTCCAGTCATACCTTAAGCTCTTTAACCCACTTTGAGTTGATTTCTATAGAGCATGACGCATAGGGATCATCTTTCCTCTTTCTTCCTATAGCCGTAGCTGTGCTTGTTTCTAGGTTCACTATTCAATCCCATATGTCTTTTTGTCTGTTTGGGGGACAGTCTCATGCTATGCTGTTACTATGGTTCTGTTATGGTTTGAGAGTTAGGTACATTTGTATGTGTGCTCATGTGCATGGAGGCCATAGGTTGATGCTAAGTGTCTTCCTTAATTTTTAAATGTTCTTACATTTATTCATTTATTTTATGTGTGCACACACACTTGAGTGCACACACTTGTGTATGCATGTGCACGAGCCTTGTCACACAAGTGGCGGTCAGAAAACAACTTTCAAGAGACAGTTCTCTCCTCCTTCTACCATTGGGTTCCAGAGATTGAACCCATGTTGTTAGGCTTGTCAGTAAGCACCTTAACTGATGGTCTTTAAGAATTCTTTATTACTATTTATTTACTGTGTATACATGTGTTTGTGTGCCATGGCACTCGTGTAGAGGTGAGAGGTCAACTTGTGGACATCAGTTCTCTTCTTCTACCATGTGGATCCCAGGGATTGAACTCAGGTCGTCAGGCTTGCCAACAGCACCTTTAATCACTGAGCCATCTACAGCACTACACACACACACAGGTCTCTCATTTAACCCAGAACTCACCAATTCAGCAAGCCTGACTGGGCAGGAGGCCTAGGTATCCTTCTGTTTGCACAGCACTGGGTTACGGACACACAGCACTGCAGCCAGTTCTTAACACGGGTACTAAGGATCTGAACTTCAGTCATCATGCTTGTGTGACGAACCATCCACCTAGCTCCTGTAGTATGATTTGAAGTCATGTATTGTGAAGCCTTTGGCATTAGTCTTTGTGCGTAAGATTGCTCTGATTATCCTGAGGAGGAGGGTATTTGTTGTACTTCTACATGGGTTTTAGGGCAGGTCTTTTTAGTTTGGTGAAGAATATCATTGGACCTTTGATAGAAATTACATTGAACTGCAGATTGCTCTTAACTATACTGATTCTGCTAATTCTGCTAATTCTGTTCCCTAAACACAAGAGGTCTCTCCACCTTAATATACGTCTTCAAGCATTTATTTCCCTTCATTATCTTGTTTTCGTTATAGAGGTCTTTTCCTCTCCTTGCTTGGGTTTACTCCAAAGTCTTTGGTGTTGCTTGTTTGTTTATTTGTTTGTCTCCGAAGTTCCTAGGAATAGAATTGTTCCCTTTTTTCTCTACAAGTTTATTATACAAGTATGGGGAAACTGCTCGGTTTTGTATGTTAATTTTGTGCCCTGCTATTTTGCTGAAGGTTTTTATCAGATCTAAAAGTTTTCAGGTGGCTCCTTTGTGATTTCTAAGTACAGGATCATCACAGCAGGACTAGCCTGGCTCGTGTCTCCGTTCTTGTCTGACTCATTCTCTCTCATGCCTTATTGCTTTACCTAAAATACCCATGCACTAAGCCGAGACGGAGATAAGGGCACACTCCTGTCCATTCCTACAGTTAGAGGAAATGCTTTCATTCTTTCCCCATTTTATATAATGTTGGCTGTAAGCGAGTCCTACCTGGCCTTTATTATGTTGGAGTGCATTCCTTACTTCTATGTTACAAGCAGTTTCAATATTGTTTCTATTCCTGAGACTCCATCTTCCGTTGCAGATAAATTCACTTTATAAGTCAAAATTTAATTTACCTCAGAATTTTAATGCTAACACTTTCCTCCTCTTAGCAGTTAGCCAGTACACACTGGCTACTTTCCTCCTCAATAAGTCAGACCTTGGATAGGGCTGGTCAAAGTGTTAAGAAAGAGCAAGGCAAGATGTGGGCCTTAAAGAACTGGCAGAAATAGAGACAGGTCCTCCATGTATGGCTGTGAGACATGGTTTAAAGCTGAGTCCTGATTCAACAGATCTACCTCTCTGTGAGATCTGAGGCCCATGGGAGCTTGTATTCTTAGGTGCTACAGAGGCAGGGGTCGGACTGAGACTGTACACGCATGCATATATGCATACATTCTCGAGTGCATACACAGACTTCCCTGATTCCAGTCTCAGTTATGAGTGTTGTTAGGAACTCAGTCAGTGGAGAGCAGCAGGGACAATCCAATCTGCTGAAGGCTAACTGTTGGCATGGCATTTCCCATCAAGGAAAGGGGAGAACTTGTAGGAGGGGTTTCCAAGGAAGCAAGACTTTAGTATTGGAAAACAGGGGTCAAGATGAGTCCAGGACTCTTCAGCTACTGGGTTTCCTGGGAGCCCAGGTAAGCAGAACTCACAGGGCCCCACAAGGAGCAGGAGATTCCGATGGCAGCTTCTTGATGTCTCAGGAAGCACAACCTTCCCAGGATCAGAAACTCTTGCCTATGGCCACAGGACTTTGGATCTTCCAAAGGGACCCAGAGTTTCCCCCCAAAAGAGCCAGTTATCACAAACACAAACAGCTCTTAAATAAACATGACAAACTGCAGTCTGTATGGAGGTGCTACCTTGGTTATCTACACCCCAGAGAACAGGCTAGTGAGTCTTCAAGGAATGAGAAGACTGCAGGAAGGATGCTTTTGGAAAAGATGTACACACGTAAAGAATCTCCACTCGGTGGACAGGGATTAGCTGAAGGGCTCACTGCAGGCCATAGCACTGGTACCTGAGGCATGATGCTTCCTGGAGTGCTGTAACTGGAGAGGCTGTACACACATTCTGTACCCAGACAGGTCAACAAATATGCAGCCCTTTCCTGTGTGTAATTCCACATACTCCTGGCTCAGGACAGTGTCGAGTTTCCATCCTGGACTTTTCTAATCCAGGCAGGCTTTCTCTGCTTGGGAAGGGAAGGACGTTCTCAGATTCAAAGTTAGTAGGTAAGGCTGTTCAGAGCAGAGTCAGAGATAGATAGCAAAGTGGCTCCTCACAAAAGCTGTTTGTTCTGTCCTCAGTCAAGTCGAAAATGAAATGACCACCATGCTCATCACCAGGGAAGAGATTCTTACATTTAGAATTATGGAAGGGGGCTCTTTTCCAGAGACTTCAGCAGTTTATATAAACCATGGATCTTGTTTCAAGGAGATATGAGAGATAATTTTGATAGAAAAACAGAACTTCAGACAAACAGACAGACACACATACACACACACACACACACACAGAGAGAGAGAGAGAGAGAGAGAGAGAGAGAGAGAGAGAGAGAGAGAGAGCCCAGCAGCTACGAGCTATCCCAAAGTTTGTGAGTTTATGTTCCAGCACCCATGCCAAGTATTTCACCATTGCTTGTAACTCCAGCTCCTGGGGGAAAGGAGAGGGAGAGGTGGGCAGGGGGACATGTGTGCATATTATAACACACACACAGAGAGAGAGAGAGAGAGAGAGAGAGAGAGAGAGAGAGAGAGAGAGAGAGAGAGAGAGAGAGGGACTCTTAGTTTAAAATATAAAAATTTTTAAAAAGAAACAACATCCTCCCCCAGAGGCATTGCAGGTGTGGCTCCTGTATCACGTGTGCATCAGTAGACGGCAGAGAGGAGAGAGGCTACGACTATGCTCAGTGTTTCTGACCTGTGAACACTGAGTAATTGATTAGTAGCTTAACATTCCCTGAAAAAAAGCAATCCTGAGATGACTACCAGTCAGGCACCAAGGGGGCCTAGATAAGGAGCTAGCCAGAAATGACCTTCAGTCTGGTGCCGGGCAAGCCCAGACAGGATGGGGACAAGCTGGAGAATAGAAGAAACTTGCCTAGGACCATAGGAGGGAGTGAGCCTGAGACAGATGACCCTCTCAAGGGGCCACTTGAGCAGGTCGGGTGGGGAGTGAGTCCAAGACAATCACCAAACCAGTGCCTTGGGGCCTGGATGAAGAGCTAACCTGAAATGAACACCAGTCTGGCTCTGTACAGGCCTGTGGGGGCAGACCATGCCTGACATGAACCCTGCCCAGTGCTATAATGAATGAATGAGTGGAACATTGCATGTTGAAGAGCACTCCGGAGATGACCCCAGACATTTGGAGAGTTGTAGTACCACTAAGAGGAGCGAGTAAGTGGTGGAGAAATTGAAGAGAAACAGAAACAGAAAGATGTGTGCACAATGAAGAGAGACAAAACTGGGTAATAAGGAACACCATAAGGTGGGAAGCCGGTAATGGCACCTGGGACTATGATGGGGTCCTGGACTGTGTTGGCACCAGAGCCCCATATCTGGGTCTACTGGCCCTGTAGCATCATGGGTCTGTTACCACCAAAGACCAGGCAGATGTTCCTAGTCTGGGCTTCTGCTCTGAGTCATGTTGATGTCCAAGGGCTGTATAGAACTAGACCCACCCCTCACCTCAGCAGCCCAGGATAGTTGGCCCTGGGGTCATGAGAGCAGGAAAGCTGACCCTGCCCCTAGCCAGCTGCAGTGCTTGAGAAAATAAGCTCCTTCAGGTTTCAGAAGTTGTAGGTAAGCTGTCTCCAGAAGATAGGACCATTCCACACCATGGGAGAGCTGACCCTACCCCTCACTAGCTGCACTCAGAAGAGTGGACCCTGCACTCACCTGGGAAGCACAGTAGATCTGATCCTGATTGCAGGGGTGTGGGTGAGCCAGCTCCAGATGGGAGAACTGGCCTTTCAACTTATCTACCATGTAGAAGTGTGGGCAAGGCAGAGATGACCTCCTCCACTCTTGCTCCTTGCCTCCTATGGCAACTGGGAGAGCTGGCCCTGGGGTTGTGAAGGCAGGAGAGATGTCTCTGCCCCTGACCTGATGTAGCACTCAGAAGAGTGGGCCCTGCACCTCACCTGAGCAGCAGGGTAAAACTGGCCCTGGTTGCCTGAGAGCAGGAGAGCCTGCAGGATGACCAGGTCAGATATCTCTGAAGCCCAGATCCAGGGCTTTGAATTGGCCCACCCAGCATCTACCCCATCCATGAACTTCTGGGGTGCATGAGGGGCTGGTCCTACATATCCAGAACTAGAGAATCTCTGTGACACAGAGAAACAAAAGGGTATCTGAGAGGAATTCCAGTAAGGTTCCAGTACTGATAGAGTAGCAGAAGCCAGAGGCCTCATACCAGGCCAATGAGTCATTGCTATGAACACTTGCAAGCAAAGAAGTGTGGACAAAGGATATAGTGTGGGACACACTACAGCTTCCATAATGAGACTTTTTTTCTCTGTTGGGAGGGGGAGGTTACAATGGTGGAGGTGGGTACAAGGGGAGGGGAAGATGAGCGGAATTGGGGCACATGATGTAAAATTCCCAAAGAACCAATAAAAAGTTAAACAAACAAACAAACAAACAAAAATGTTAGCTATAGGTATATCTCAGCTAACAGAGTATTTGCCTGGCATGAGGCCCTGGGGTCGAGCCTCAGCCCTACACAAACTGGGCATGGCAGTATTCACCTACAATCCCAAGTTCTTGAAAGGTAGAAGTAGGAAAATTTGAACATCAGCTCTGCTTGGCCAACTTGAGAATCTATCTCTTTCTTTTTTTCTTTTTCTAAGGAGTTGTCTGAGGGGTGCTGATGCTGAAACCATGGACAACTATTTGAGGAGCAGCAGTGCCATGGAGACTCTAGTTTGCAGGACAACAGGGATCGAAATAAGAAAACATCGTCAGCATCATAACAGGAGTCTGTGGGAATGGAAAGTCCCAACACAGATCAAATCCACTGGGCAGGCTGTAAGGCTAGAGAACAGACGGTCCTTTTGTTGCATACTAAAGACACCCAAGACACAGAAATCTGACAAGTGTGCATAAGAAACACAGAGAAATATTCTGTTTACCTTGATCTTGTCACAGCTATCTGTGACCTCTGGTTCAAAGTCAGTCATCAAGAGAAAATCAGAGACCTCCTATGGAAGAGGAAGACTCTTCAAGGTGATTTATAGGGGGAAAGACTGATTGACACACAAAAGAAAGTACAACATAGAAAGCTCACACTGTCTAATAGAGGCAGGACAGTGACAGGCACTGTCCCTAAAGGCTAGGAAAATGACAGGCACTGGCCCTGCCACCAACTGAGGACCTCTTCACATTCCTTACACCTCTTGTTAGTCAAAGTGAGGACAGATTCTAAGGCCATCCTGGAAGTACTGAACCTGACACAACCTATCAGGTCTGCTCTTTGAATCTTATCCAGTTTGTCATGAGTGCCCTCAGAGCCACTGCAAAGCCAGCCCAGCCCAGCTACAAATTTGAGTCTTTTCCTATGGAACCTGGTTTGGGATTGGAGGAAAAGAGGCAGCCAATGTTAGTGTTCTGTCTAAACTCCACCTCCACAGTTACCTGGCAACAGCCAGGTATGCTCCTCCCCACAGTTACCTGGCAACAGCCAGGTAGACCTGCCCACTATAAAAGGGGCTGCTTGCCCCCATTCCTTCCTCGATCTCTTACTCTCTTGCTGTCTTGCCTCTAGCTTCCCCCGTCTCCTTACCCCTCCCCATTTCCCTTCCCCCTCTCTCCACGTGGTCATGGCCAGCCTCCACTTCTCTCTCTCCTCTTTCTCTGTCATCTTCTCCTATTTCTCTCCCCCCACACACACCTTTGCCCTATCTCCTGAATAACCCCCACCCCTGGAACTGTTCAGTGCACTGAAGTCTAACAGCCATGATTGGTGGGGAAGGATTATGAGGCAGCGTCAGTTGGAGGTTTTGCTGTGAAAGCTTTATACTATACCAACCAAGCTCCACACTTTCCTCACTCCTTTAACAAAATAATGTTTTGGGGAGGAGTCTGGTTGGAGTCAGTTTACAGGGGTTCTTTGTTCAAGGTGGGAGTTATATATTCAACACAACGTTAACTCTAAATAACCCAAATCACAACTCAAAGACTAAATAAAGCATTCCAGAATTCTTTCCTGTTGAGTGATAAGGAAAGTTGAGGTAAGATGGCTGCAGGGTGCGTGAGTCAGTGGCTTGGTGACATCATCGCAGACAAAGGTTCAGTAAGAAAATTTGTCTCAAAAAAGAAAATAGTGGAGAAGCAATTGAGGGAGACACCCGGTGTCAGCCTCTGGCCTACTTCCATGCATACACACTAGACAGATAAATCAGGTAGAGTTTGGTGGCTTCAGTGAATACTGATCAGATAACCTGACCATGCACTCAGTGTGACTCAGTGTCCTCGCTAATTTTATGTCAATTTGACACAAAATTTTATGTCAATTTGTCACCTGAGAGGAGGAAACCAAAATTAAGAAAATGCCTCAGTGAGATTGGGCAAACCTTAGTGACTGATGTGGGAGGACCCAGATGGTTGTGGGTGGGGCCACCCTGGGCTGGTGGTCCTGGGTGCTGTAAGAAAGCAGGCTGAGCAAGCCATGGGGAGCAAGCCAGTAAGCAGCACTCCTCTATGGCCTCTGCACCAGTTCCTGCAGAGGTGACAGAACTCTAGCCCTGACTCCCTTTGATAATGAACAGTGATATATAGAACCCTTTCCCCCCAACTTGCTTTTGGACATGGTGTTTTATCACAGGAATGAAAACTGTAATTGAGACACCTGTCGTGTAATAACAAATCAACTATTAGGCAGGAGGAACTCTCCCAAGCATCCTAAAATATGTGCCCCTTCCCAAAGCATGCACCACTTCATCTTTTCACACAATGGAAGTAATGTTTTGTTTGGCATAGTCACAGATCCTGAACCAGAGGTATCTAAGAACCTAAGAACGGTGTCTAGCTTCCTGGGGACAGGAAATACTTGCTCTTTAAAACCTTTAGACTTAAGGCCATTTGCCATGCAGTGATATGAGGCTGAGGCAGGAGGATCCTCAGTTGAAGGCCAGGCTGGGTTACACTGAGAGACTCTGTTTCAAGAAAAACAACAACAAAAAAGATATAATAATAAAGCAGGCTGGTGAGAAAGGGAAGCAACTGATGCTCACTGAGTTCTTCCCAGCTGCAGTGAACACAATCAAGGGACTCAAACTTTTATCACAAGTCAGCATACAACTCTGAGGACAGAGAATACTTGGAAGCACAGAGAAGGTGGTAATTCTATGTCAAACCTGCCCCGGACATTTTAGTTTATTTTGATCGGTTATTATCTTAGGCTTTGTGTATGAGCTGCAATGACTCTTTCAATCCTCTTCACTGTGTCTTCGAATCTTCTAATATTTTTAAACTTCATCTCACACTCAACATGAGAAAGCCAGTTGGCTAGACCTTCGGAAAACAGGTCCAAGTTGCTGAAGGTGGGAACTCTGCATAGAAGTCGTGTCAAAACGCTACCTGCTGCCTCGGCATCTTTGTTCACTGAAGCAATCATTAAAGGATGATCTATAACTCCAGTTCCAGGAGGCCCAATGCCTTCTTCTGACCTCTCCAGGAACCAGGTACACTCAGGGTGAACATACATGCACTATGCATGCAAAAACAAACAAGTGAAAAAAATCACCCACATACAAATAAAACAAATCTTTTAAACAGCTATCTTAAACATCACGAGAATGGTGTTCTTCTCATAACTGAGAGTGCCAAGTCCCATGAATGCACAGGTTAGTCTGATGTACAGGAGTCTCTGTCTTCATGCCCTTTGGGGTTAGGAGGGGTCTGGCAAGGCAGCCCAAGTTATGCCATTCTAACTTGGTGGTCCTGGCTATCATGC